TGCCACATGGAGCAAATTTGAGGCTCAGCTTGTGTGCTGTGTTGTCTTCAAGTTTGGTATAGTGTGTCCAACCAAGTGTCAAACTTCTGATGATGTAAGGGGTAACAACCTCACAAGCTGAGACACTGAATTGTGTAAAATAAATTGGAAAAATCAGTCTTCTCGGTATTTTTTGGACTTGACCCCAAATGAATGACTTAAAATAAGTACACCTAATTATTTGTAGGGATTTAATGCTTCCACAAGCGTAAAGTCACATTTTGTAGACAAGCAAAACTTTGTGGTTATCTGGGGTGATGGGGATGGAATATTGACTGACATGGATAACCTACAGTAAATTGGGAGTTTGCTGCAGCTATGAGACTGGTGGCCACACACAACTAGCTTGGGTCATGCCTTCCTTCTGCATCAGCTAGACCTCAGCTGGCTCCAGGAATGAAGAGAACTCACTAGACCGAACACTGTACTCGGGCTGAACTTTTTCCAGGCATTGTGAGTAGTACTGTGCCAAGCTCACTTGGCCCCTCTCTGAGCCCAAATTATTAGGAGGGTCAGGGAGTGACTGTAGTCCAAGAGCACCAGCTGATCCCAGGTAGAGTTCTTCCCACATTGGATGCTGGAGTTTTCTAAATAGGACATAAGTTGGCTCCATGCATGGTTTGTTAGGTCAGGCCCTCACAAGCAGCCCTCCAGCTGCTGAAGCAGATTTGATCTTTAGGCTGAGTAGCCACAGCTCAACAGGCTTTTAATCCCAAAAGCCCTGAAGGGTCTGAGCTGCCCATGGATACTAGGGAAACCATGTATGTACGGCAGTGTTCAGAAACATCAACGACTGAAAACCTGTGCCCCATCAAAAATCATGAAGACAGCATGAAGCTGTTAAAATTCTATGCTTTCTGCCTCTTGAGTTTTTGGACTGCGTTAGCTTCCTACCTTCAAAATTTTCTCTGGAAGTTTAAGAACTGGGAAAATGTGTGTATAAATAGAGATACATATTTCATCTAGTGGAACTTCAATAGATTATTAAATATAGGAGTTGACAACACTGAAAAGTTAGGTCTAATTTAAGCAATGATTGAAAATCACCCCAAACAGAAGTCTCTAATCTGTGTGAAAATGATGCCATCCCTGTAAGCACAATAATGGCTCTTTGTCCTTGATCTTGGAAAGGACAGACAGCAAAAAATGTGTCATAACTGCACAGGGTTCTGGGTCAAGAATGATCGTATCTGGAAAAGCTATTTCTAAGATTGTTACTAAGTTGTTTCTTGTAAATTAAAATAATTCTAGTAATTCTGTTTCTTTTTAAATTAAGATAAAAAGTCTGTGTAAAGTGGTGTTCCTATATTCTGCTGAGGCATGTGAGCATACTGCTTAATGATGATGTCAGAAATGCTCACTGACAATATGCAATTGTAAAGTCACTTATTTTCACTGCCTACAATGAATGAAATGCTAGCAGTAAAGAACAAATTAGAGATGGGAGATGATATCCCTCTACAAGTGTCAAAGTTTATCTCCATCATACGTTTCTGTCTGGCTACACGAGGTAACAACATAAGCAAAGGTAAAACACCTCAAAGTAAGTACTTTCAGAGAAACTCGGGAAACATTAGCTGAACCATTGGAAGAACGATCTATTTCCAGGTATGTAAGGGAGTATAAATCAGGTATAAACACAAGTTTTGGTTGACCAAAACTGAAGCCTCTAGAAAGTAAGCTTGCAAAAGGAAAAGGCGCTGTAAATTACCAGCAGTTGTATGTGAGGCGATGCGGACACCAAGAAAGTGGCATGGGGAGGGTGTGATTTGGGTACTATGCTGGGTAAGGGGTAGGTGGGGGCCTCTAACCCTTTTCTTCCCTGTTAAACTAGTTAACAACATGGGTTTGGGATTTTTTTTTTCTTTCTAGAAACTGTTTTGAATTATTTCAGCCAGGCTGTTTACAGGCCCCCAAGGAAGGGGGCCAAGCACAGGTGGGCCCGTATTTTCGTCGTGACTGGGAGCAGAGGTGTTTTGTCCAGGGACTGATCTGAAAGCTCAATGTTCTTGGGGAAATCACACCGACAGGGAAGCAGCTCATCCTGCCACCTACCAGTTTCCTCAAGGGATGATGAGGGATTCAGGCGAGAGCACAGCTTGCAGCTGTGATGGTACACCAGCTAGAGTGGGAGACCAAGTCTAAAAGAAGAGGCAGAGGTGTACCTGGGGAGGAATGCAGGCAGGGGCCTGCTGCTGCTGCTGCCAAACTGCCCTCACAGAGGCAGTAGCAGAGATCACAGGTGGGAGTTAGCCTTGAATCTGACAAACCATGAGAAATCTATATTTTTGAATATTTCACTGTTAATAATTTGAATTCTGATGGTGGCAAACCAGACATGGAAAGAGTCTGAAGGCATTAGCTCTGATTATCATTTGTCACAGCTTCTTGACTGCAGAGGAACCAGTTTAGACCAAGTCAGTCCCTGGCCCATGCATCCTGAATTCATGATTTTCCATTGGAGGTCCCAGAACTCGAGTCACCATTTGTTTTCTCTTTTGTTGTTGGTTGGTTGTTTTTTTTACCCCGTCTCTCCTTATGTGCCTCTATCCTGGGTCTAAAAGCTGCTATCATAAGAATTACTGAACCTAAAAAAATAGTGCTTTGTACTATCTGAAAGCTTTGCTGCCTTGAATCATACGGAGGGTAAAAAGCAATCCATCAAAAATATCAATGTTTTTTAAACCACTGAAACCCCCATTTGACCTTAGAGTTGGAAGGAGAGGGATGCTTATCATGATAATATGATTTAAAACCCAATTCCTCCTAGCCTTGTATAATGTACACAGTATTTCACAAACTGGTACAAACATGAGTGGGAAGGCTTGTGAATTACCAGAATAGCCGAGATGTTAAACACAGACTCTGTTTTGGGCAATGGTATTTATTTATCTGGAGAAACATTTCCTTTTCCCCTGGAAGAAAATTGGAATGGATATAGAGAGTATGTTTTTGTGAGATTTGGCAGTGTTCAGTGGCTTCATTAGCCAGGATTACCCACAGGGCAATTATATCTAATCTTCATTACATTAACAGCTAAGCATTGACTTCCTTTTTATTTCTTCAGATTTACTTGTGCAGCCTTCATGTTGTCCCTGTGGCCAGTCATGTGGAATTTAAGGCACCTCTGTTGTCATTTCTTCTCACATTGTTCATTCCTTGAGCTGCTCGAGGTATTTGAGCAACACAGTGTTCTCATATCCTGAAGAGCTGTGTCCCTACCCTACTGCTGGAACAAGCATCTCTGTCATATTCCTTCCACCCTCTCCTCAGAGTAATACCAGTCTTTTCCTTCCCCCTATGCTCGCTTTCTTCTGCTCAGGGAATGCCCTTCCTGAGGTGCTCAGCAAAGCCACAACCCTGTACACCCTTTAAAACCTCCCTGAAGATCCACTTCTGTGATGCTTGCAAGAAACTAGCTAAGTAATCTGCTTATCTATTTCGTTCAGCTCATGAGTCGCTCACTCCTTCCATGGTGCCTGCAAGAAACTTGTAGACTAAGTCTACTTTCTTTGTTTTCATCAAATTAAAAGCGTTGCTGGATTGTGCCCCTTCGTGGAGGTTGGGTGAATTCTAGGATAACGAGATCACAGTGACCTTCTGGATGCCAGTGTGTTCTTCCTGCACATTTGTTGCTTGTGTCTTATGTGACTTCTCATTAGAAACTGTGTCTGCCAGCAGCCTGCAAATAAAGAGGCTTTACTCTTTGCTTGGCTCCTCATGAGTGGAGCATGAAATATGTGTAGCAGTCCACCTGCTTGGAGCTGTTTCTAGGCTTGGTGTATTAGTTTGGGAACTACTTCAGGCATGATCAATGTTTTTTGTCTCTAGTAGGTATCTCCTATCACAATTTGCACAAGTGTCTGAAATACTATTTTTAAGGAGCTAGTAGCATTTGATGTGACTGCTGGCTGTTGTCATCCTACTCCATGCATTTTTCGTGTTATCTTATTTGTGTTTGTAACTCCAAAAAAGTTCCGTAAGAGAAATGCATGAAGGTTCTCGGCTTGCTAATGATCTCTAGCAAGTGTAGTGTTATCCACACTTTACATAGAGAATTTCAAAGTATTTTAATTGAACACATTTTTTAACTTAATGAATAAGAGTAACAATTTAAAGAAATTTTTTTTCTTCGTAAGAGAAGGTAGCAAAACGAATTTTTTTGTAATGGTATTGTGTAGTGTCATGACATAATCCTTACAGGTAATACATACATTTTTATTCCTGTGCCACATAACAAGTAGCATTTACTTGTGGCTTGTTGTGCTTGTCATGTCTTTCTAATGCACAAAAAACAGTGGGTCCCCGTTTTGTGCAAATGAAGACGTGTGTATTTAGTGTCCTTTTCAGCGGGGTATCTCCATCTGTGTGAATTTAAGCACACGCTGTGTGTCAGCAGGGCTGGAGTGTAAGACATGTACCCTTTGTTCACTTGTTATCAGTGTTTCTCAAGGAAACGGTGTGACCCTGGCGGTGTCAGCATCCTAATTTGATACCTATTTTGCAACATTATTGTCTAGCAAACTAATGGTCACACAGGCAATTAATATTGCTAGACATGACAGCAGGGTTCCTTTAATTAGTAAAGACTCCTGTTTCTTCAGTAAGACCCAGAGTCTGAATCTCCATATTCCCTGCGAGCCCTGTCTTGGTGGTGGAGGCTGGAGCCGCACAAGTGGAGCTAATTCTCTGGTTACTTTTTCCCACCGTCTGGGGAAGGGTTACCTGTGGATGAGTCCCAAGCATTTCATAAGTGTTAATATTTTGTTAGATGGAAAACAAGGGAACTGTCTTTGAATACTCAGAGTTACTGCTGACTGACTGCCCCATTTGCAGTCCCTGCGTGGAAGGAGAAAGAGGGCAAAGGAAGGAATACGAGCCCCCAAGAGAATACAAGTTTCTCTGCGAGCTTTGAAGTAGAGCATTCCATCAACGTGGACTTTTTTCTTTCCCTCTTCTAGTTCAGCTTATGATACCAAAACAAGACAGAAGGTGGCAGTAAAAAAGCTTTCAAGACCTTTTCAGTCACTCATCCATGCGAGGAGAACCTACCGAGAGCTTAGGTTGCTTAAGCACATGAAGCATGAGAACGTAAGTGGAGAATGAGTTCTTTCCCTTCATATTTTTATGACGCAAATTTGCAATATAAGCTTAATTTCAGATAGATATTATCTTTTTCGAAAAGTGTATGCAACTTTATAGCTACCCAAGATACCTGGACCTAGCCATTGTATGTGTAGCGAAGTCACTGGACTTTAGAGGCTTTTAATAAAAGGCTGCCTTTTTACTGAAGAAAATATTTCGTTGTGAGGATGCAGCTGCTGAAAACCGAAATAAGTGGTCCTACTCTTCTTTAACTAAAGTAAGAAGAGTGTTCTGCTCTATACCATTGGATGCTCTTGAGACATCAGTCCAGGAAAAAAAGAAATACCTCAGACCTGCTTGTGCTGAATTTGGATTCTGTTAAGAAATCAAAGGCAGGTAACTCACATCGAAATTAACCACAGTGTAATAGCTAAATGAAAGAGAGTAGAACTTCAGGCCATAAATAATTGAATACTATTCTAAGTTTATGTGGCAAACGGTTGACTTTCAGTGGGAGTATCTGCCTGCTTAAAAGTGACTTGATGAATTGAAGCTTGACTAAAATATAGTGGATTGAAAAGTGTCCTGGAGGAAGGATGCTAAAAAAGTTAACAGCGGAACAAGATAACCCTGAAATTGTGCGTAATCTTGAGTGTGACAAGTGTATAAGCTATGTGTCAGCTTATACAAAATAACAAGATGTTATTTTTCCTGCCTTTATTTCTGGTTGTCTAAAATCTTGTTGTAATTACTTTCTGTAACTAATACCATTTTCTGCTGGTTATGGAGATAGCTGAGGCTATACGCGTGTAGACCACCTTTTGTGCTGGTTGTACTAAGTTTTCAGGATGAGCGTGTGCCATATGTTTTTAAGTTTCATCTCCAAAATGCTAAGCACTGTCAATAATAATTACATGTTGCTTCACAAGTTTCTAAAAATAAAATGTCAATTCTCTCGTCTTTCAGGTTATAGGATTGCTAGATGTTTTTACACCTGCAACCTCCATAGAAAATTTTAATGAAGTGTAAGTAAAATTTTAACACCAGTTTATAATGTTTATAAATATGTAAAGGGTGAGTGTCAGGAGGGCAGAGCCATGCTCTTCTCCGTGATGTCCAGTGATGGGACAAGGGGCAATGGGTGCAAGCTGGAGCACAGGAGGTTCCACGTAAACATAAGGAAAACCTTTTCACGGTGAGGGTGACAGAGCACTGGCACAGGCTGCCCAGGGAGGTTGTGGAGTCTCCTCCTCTGGAGACATTCAAAACCCACCTGGACACGTTCCTGTGTGACCTAGTGTAGGTTATCCTGCTCTGGCAGGGCGACTGGTGATCTTTCAAGGTCCCTTCCAACCCCAAACATTCTGTGATTCTGATTAGTTACTAAGTAAGTACAATTCTGATTTTGAAAAGGAAACATGTACTTTTCTAATGGACCTGCACTCACAGTTGACTTTGTGTGAAGAACCTCAATAAATCTTTTTGCAACTTATCAACAAAAGAGGTGGCAGCAGAATGGGCCTCATTTTTTTTACTTTTTTGAATAATAATTAATAGGACCTGTAGGTATATGGTGAATGGTTTGATGCTGCATAATTGCCGATAAACTTAAAGCTTTTTCAGTTCAATTGTTAGCTGTATGTTAGCTGTAGATTATTTTTTCACAGTTAGATGGGATAGTTTGGGAATGCAGGGAAGTATTCTGTTGGTTAACTGAGACAAGGTAAACTTAAGTTAAATTCCTGACTAACGTAGGACCAGATGTATTTTGGTGCTGCTCAAATGTACAATTTATGTGGAGTTCCTCATGGTTTATATCATATATAAGCACTTAGGTAAACAATTTAACAGAAGAAATACTAATATATTTTTGTCTCTGTGGAAATTAACGGCCAAACCTCTCTGACTCTGAGGCAAAATTACACAAATGAGAACTGGGGATGATAGATACACACATTTTCCCAGCACTGTTTTTGGAAAGGAATCAACATTTCTGCAAAATTTGTCAATAAAATAAAACTTAAAGTGGGGATGGGGAGAGAAGTTACACAAAACACTCTTATTTCAACCAATCTATTGTTAATCTCCATCATCAGATATTCCAGGGCCTTGCAGGTGCTGTAGTTTCGGTGCCTCAGGCTTCCACTTTGCGGTTGGGTGAGGCTTCCTATTCATCTCAAAATGTGACGTGTTCTCTCCTCACTAAAGTGCTGTAGTGTGCCATGGAGAAAACAGACATAAAAGCTTTTAATGTACCACAAGGATTTTTCTTTTTTATGATACGAAGTCTCATAGCTGTGATTCCATTATTAAAGCTCACAGCTGATTTAAAGGACATAAAACTGTGTGTGAGTAGAAAATGGAAAAGGAACATAAGTAAGAGTGTGTAGTTACTCTTTAGATATGTTGCGTTTACATTCTCCCGTTCTTAAATGAGATGTGTTTCTTTGTTTCTTCTCTCTTTTATTTTCACAGGTATCTCGTGACAAATTTAATGGGTGCTGACCTCAATAACATCGTGAAATGCCAGAAGTTAACGGATGACCATATACAGTTTCTCATCTATCAGTTACTTCGAGGTCTTAAGGTACAGGCTCAATGTAGGAGGTTTAGAGTCAGCAACGAAAATGTAGTAACAACTAGTTCATTGCAGTGACAGTACTTAAACACGTTTTTTTATGTCTTAGGAGTGTGTAGTTAGCAGCAATCAGAAATGATCAAGTCATTTTTCTAGGCAGAAATAAAGCCCCAAGCCTGCCAGTGCTTACATGCACAACACATGTGAATAGTCCCCTTGAACATTAACTTTGGATCAGTGTCTATTCATTATTGAAGGAGAATGACTTGCTATATAAGGTCTCAAGTGAATGTGTTCTGTAGCACTGCGTGTGTTTTAGATGTTTCACCTGTCAGGAGAAGGCAGTGAAAAGACTTCTGAAGAATGTGAAATTGATAAAGAGGAATGTAGCAAATAACTCACATTTGTGTTTTGAAAAACATGAGCCAGTTTATAAAAACTGCAGCCCTTATTTTTAGAGAGAACATCACATGGGTGAAAAGATAACTAGGTTAGTTGGCTCTTTGAGAAACGTCCGGAGGCAGAAGTTTATCCTATCAATGTACGATGTTGCACACAAGCACCTACTTACTCTATCTGTAAAAATGTTGCTTCTTTTAATCGTATCAGTTAAATAACTGTTAGATAACACAGACAATTGGCAATGAAACTGTAGCAAGATTTTCTTCCAAAAGAAGTAAGATATATATCGTTTTGATGACATTGAACATATAAATGCTTCCCATTACTAGGTGATAAGCATTTTATCAGAGCAGTGTTGATTTTCCCAGGTACAACCGAAGGAAAAGGGTCAGCTGCTTTAGTCGCTAACTTAACAGTAGTTGATACTTTGGACATGGAAGATAACTTTATGTTTCAAAGCAAGCCCTGGTAAATACTGGCTCTGAAATATACTTATTACATGATTTTCAGCAAGTCACCTTATGCCTGGAACAGTAATTCTTATTCATGCATGCAGGTTCTGTCAATTTAAGTGCAGATTTTAGTGAATAAAAATTGCAGAACTGAGTCCTTAATTGCTTTGTCTCATTTGTTTAAGTTAATAGCTTAATTAGGAAGATTGATTCTGGAGTTAATTATGCAGCTTGTGGTTTTGAATATCAGGCTATGTTCTGTCAGAGCTAAATAATAGTAAGAATTGTGCTCCAAAGTGAATATTACTTTATGAAATGCACTCAGGTGTGTTTCTGGCTCTGTTTGGAAGGAGAGGGGTTGATGTGGGCTTGTGTCTTCTGGAATTGAAATTCTAACATCTCATTAGTCAAAGAACATTTGATCATCCGTAACTCCTCTCTTATGTCTATGCTGGAGTTATTACAACGTGTGTTTGCCTGCCCAAGTGAGCTCCGGGCTCGCTGGTGGGTGTGCTCAGCAGCGTGGAGCTCAGGCTTGGCCCCCTCCAGAAGCTTCCTGAGCTTTGTAGACCCTGCGAGCTGCAGGGTTGGGCAGACTCCTGAGCTGGCTGCTGGAGGAGGAGCCGTTGCAGTTGTCTGAGCAGAGCAGGGACACAGCTCCTTCTGCTGCAAGCGGCAGTTTGGTTTCCTGGCAGCTGCTGTGAGGAGCTGCCCTTCTGATCGTAGAATCATAGAATGTGTTGGGCTAGAAGGGACCTTTAAAGATCTTCTAGTCCAACCCCTCTGCAGCGAGCAGGGACATCTTCAACTAGATAGGGTTGCTCCATCGTGCCTGACCTTGAAGGACTCCAGGAATGGTGATGGAACATCTTATCCTTGGCACTGTCTCTAGGCATATCAAGGATAAGAAGGTTATTAGGAGCAGTCAGCATGGCTTTGCTAGGGGGAAGTCATGTTTGACCAACCTGATAGCCTTTTATGAGGACATAACCAGGTGGATGGATGGTGACCATGCAGTGGATGTGGTCTATCTGGATGTCAGCAAGGCATTTGACACCGTCTCCCACAGCATCCTCATAGGTAAACTGAGGAAGTGTGGTCTGGATGACCAAGTAGTGAGGTAAGTCACTAACTGGCTGAAGGGAAGAAGTCAAAGAGTTGTGGTCAA